AAAGTGCCACGAACGATTTTTATTCACTCGTTGCTACGCACCAAAAAACTCACTCGTTCGCTGCGCTCACTCGTTCGTTTTTTGGTGCTGCGCAACTCGTGAATAAAAATCGTTCGTGGCACTTTCCGTGGAGTAATCTCTATTTTTCACACGTGAAAATAACACCATTGCGATGGCTATTCAAAAATACACGGAAAGAATTGCCTGAAAAAGCCAAAACATATTTTCATTGATCATAATTATATAATGAACAGAATATTACATGGACGCTTGGAGATACGAAATTTATCTTCTCGTGTTGAAAATCTCTTCAATCTTTTCAACACTCGAAAATAAATTTCGTATCTCCGCGCGCCCATGTAATATCCTCTCTATATACTATTACTTATTTTTTAACCAGGTAACGTTCCGGGTATAAACCTCTAGTCTTGCTAATCTAGTTGCTTCAGACGAACACTTGACTACCCGCCTATTGTGTCTGATTAAGACTGGTGATTCTAGTCGAAACGTCGACTTGTATCAAAATATTTCTTGTGACTTATTTCTTCTACTTGCGCACTTTTTTGTTCAGTTAATTAGCACCAATTGTCTTACTGTTAGCGAAGAAGATTATTATAATAGGGGGAGTCATGCAAGTAACGCCATTATTGATGAACAACTCCACATTTCCTCACCCTGATTCGAAGGGACGTAGAAGTAAACTACTATTGACAAGAAGAAATGCTGGAGTGACCATGCAAGCCCAGTGTCTGACTTCTACTAAGGATTTCTATGATATAGTTATCTGAAACATGGGAATTTTAAGAGGAAATGAAAAAAGTCGCAATCGAGCAATGTACCTGGAAGAGGAAATAATGATGTACGGTGTACAAAATCTCAAAACCATAATCCTCTTTTTTTCTTTTCGAGCTACGATGGCAGAAATCCCTAGAAAATTTTCAAATCATAACGCAATATTTCTATTTTGTGTTAATAGATATTGCATCCGGCCTATTCGAAATACCCTTTAATGTTCCGACTAAAGCATTGGTCACCTTCATTATACCAGATCTTGAGACATTCACAGCCTGTGTTTGGATGAAGACGAATGATACAGTAAACCAAGGAACTCCCTTCAGATACCATGGCACTAATGCCACCGGATTTGGGTTGATCAATTACAAGAATATAGCCATAAGGCTTATGGGCAAAGAAAAGTAGGTTCTTAATGATGAGACGCATTTGATTTTAGTAATTTTGTAAAACGCTCTCCTCCCACCTCTGCGGGGTTCAATTTAATCCTTGATGAAAACGTGGAAAGATTGGATGTATTTCTCACTCTCACGTTTGCCCCACCCCCAAATCACCATCTTAATTATTTTCTGTTTTACCCCTAATTCAAGGAACAGTAATGTATCAGCCAACGATGGCAGATGGCACCACCTTTGTCTCGTTTGGACCTCAAAAGGAGGAGTTTATCAGATGTACAAAGATGGAATGTTCGTGATTCAGGGTAACGATTGGCATAAAGACCAAAAGATACCAGGTAGGTTATGTGCGAGCATGCTAAATGTCGCTTCTCGCTAGCAGCCAGCTGATCTGAAATAATGACCTGGAAATGACTGTAAAATGAGGTGTCATGAAACATGCGAAAATTGACCAGGGAAAGAGACAAACATGCCAGCCAATGCAATAAAAATATAAAGCTCATGAATTATTGTGTCACAGTTATCAAGCGCATATCAGTAACGATATGTTTTTTCATTTGGTGGTCCCGAAATTTGTTGCCCCGTTCATCATCAACATTGCTTGTCTTTTTTCACACCTATAGATGATAAATGTGATGCTTTGCCTGCGTTTGTGTAAACCGACATTTGTGTTAACCAGGCTTAAATGGGACCACCATCTTTCCCTAGTCGTCGATTGATGCCTCCATATGCCTGTAGGCAGTTGGAGCTGGTTTTAGAACTAACGTTTTAAATTCTGCGTGCAGGTTATAGTACCTTGCTAGTTGGAGCAGATAACTTCGTTGGAAAGATTAGTGGAATGAATGTATGGACAGTAGTTATGGGCCTGTCAGAGATAGCTCAACGCGCAGTAGGTTGTGGTAAAGAAAGAGGTGATATTGTATATTGGTCAACATTCAGAAACCAAGAAGATGTGGTTTATCCGCCAACCTGCCTTGATGTTGGTGGTAATTATTTGGTGGATAATATTTGTAATAAACCTAATTCATCTTAGAGCAATAATGTTCTCCCATTTCATCGGACGAAGTGTTTCAAACAAAGAATCATATTCTCATGATGTCACGTGGTCTGGGTAAACATTGCTCGAAGACGAATTAGGTCTATTGTTTTATTTATAGTTATTTATTGTTTGTTTGTTGCAATCTGCTATATTTCCCAATCTTTTTATTTGCTTATTTTATTCCAGGTAAAGGATATCTTATAACGCTAAACTCTACCAAGCAAACTGCAAGCGACTTAATTAGCAACGTCTTCAACAGCCCATTAGCTGATTATTCCATTAGCTTTTGTTTTTACTTCCGGTACATGGTGATTGGTCACTCAAATGCATCTCTTAAGATATACCGATCTGATCTAACAGATCTTGATACTAATACGACTAATGAAGAACTTGTATGGGAAGCCGTGTCGTCCGAAACACGTATACCTTTGTGGTTATTTGGAACCGTGTCTTTTAGTGCTTTACGGACATTTAAGGTAGAGAGAGTCGATCTTTAAACATTCTTTGTACAGCTTATAATAATAAGAATAATAACGGGGTGATTTGTATCTTTGTTAGTAAGTAAGTATTAATGCCTCCAGATTGGAATTCAACAGGTTCTTTTATGTCCCCCATATTTACTGTAGGTTAGGAAGGGTTGGGAGACAGGGCCTACGGTTTTAAGTCCTTGTCCGAGAAGACTTGAAGGTCTAACCATCTGCAGATATAATTAGAAAGGCAGCACCTTCTCCTCAGTTATTTTAATACCCTGAGTGTTGGTCCGGCCGAAGCTTGAACCACGACCTCCCGCACAACAGACCGACGCTCTTACCAACTGAGCTAGCCGGTAGCTCCTCAAAAGAGAAACAGACCAAAGTCCATTACGTTGGTGCAACCAAAATCCCTTGAGATATGAATAACAATGAAATAAACGCTATGTTTTCTAATCTAACAAGAGAAGCTAATGAGACATGCGCATGGTTTGTTATCGTCGACCAACGTGGCTATGACGCAACATGCTACCCAAAAATTAATACTGAGCAAGAAATTATCAGTATTTAATAAGCAATCAAACATGCACACAATCATACATGGGAGCCTTCAAGCAGGCAGGCAGGAGGCATGCATACAAAGAAAAATTTCTTTAGTTTCACGCGAATAGTAATTCCTACGCTAATAGCAAAGCCAGCAATAAAATCTCACCCTAATCAGTTTACTTGCCTAAAACTCTAACCCCCCCCCCCCAACCTTCCCCCTTCCCCACGCCTTTTATTTTGTTTATCTTAAAGCATTGGACATGACATGTTTTTTGTTTGGTTTAATTTCAGATCAAGGTCAGCGCAACTGTAGGTCCTGGTCAGGGTTCTATTGGACTGGCAGGATATTTCGCAAAGCCTGGGTATTGTCCATCTTTTAGCAAATGCGAAATAAGAGGTAATTTGTGTACAGCAGATTTTTGAAAATACATCGTAGCGATATTCGTAAAGCTAATTTGTAGCTAAAATACATTATAAAACTATTTTTAAATTTCACTTTTTGATTGATCGAAAGCGAATGCTTTATGAGAACACATCATGCGCGCGCGGTTTTTTATTTTTTCATTAGTTTGATTTCGTTCTTTACTTCCTTTAGGCTGCCAAGTGCAGTTGGCGAGTCAATCAGGGACATTCACATCCCCTTACTTCCCTGATTTATATCCAAATAACACCCGATGCCAGTGGTTGATAACCCGGCCAAATGGGTACGTTATTCGCTTGAAGCTTCTTGCCTTTAAATTACAAGATAGCCAAAGCTGTGGAGACGATTATGTTGTGGTATACGATGGCTCTTCCTCCAGTTCAAAAATCCTGGGAAGATACTGCGGAGATTCGTTTCCTCTTCTACTGGAATCCTCTTCTAATTCTCTTCTTATAGTCTTTATTTCCGACAATGAACGTCGTTTATCTGGCTTTAAGATGTCCTACACTTCTCACAGTATGTTTCCTCTTAAAATTACTTTTCTTTATATGCTTTTTAACATGAATTGCTAACAATGAACTAAAAGCACACGGAAATAAAGGACAGCAGCAACAACAAAAACAGCAGCAACGATAGGAGTAATTAAAAAAACTGCAGCAGCAGCAACAGCATCAACAACAACAGCATTAATATTAACCACTGCAACAGCATGCAGCAAAAACATCAGTAGCACCAAAAGAAACAACATCATCCACAACAACAATAACAACAAAAAACAACAACAGAAACAAGAGATGCAGAAACAAAAAACAACAACAAACTTAGTAAGAATAGTAAAAAATTTTTCATTTTCTGCTGCGAGCGTGAGTAAACTTTATAGGATAGAGCTTTTATACGCAAAAACATTGCGGATAATAGATTTATAATGTCGAGTTCACGAGACACCAGGGATTAGTTTTAAGCGAGGTAGTGAGTAAACTGTAAAGTGATAGCATTAAAAAGGCAACACAACAATAAACAACAGGAGGAACAGCAATAGCAGCAGCTTCTGCAACAAATGGACGAGCTGTACGAACAACAGTAACAACAACAAAAGCATAAACCTAAACAGTAGCAACAACAACAACAACAACAACAAGAGTAGTAGTAGTAACAACCAAAATTTCAGTAACGAAAAAACAAAAAAACACAAAAAAATACCACACACAATAATAAATAGAACAATAGCAATATAAAACTTTCAATTCAAATTCAGTAAAATACAATTTACCATGTTGTTGTTTGTCTTATACATTTCTCACACTCTGTCGATAAAACTTACTCGAAATCCTATCCTTGCATCTATCCTCAGCAAAAGAAATAGAAGATTGCAACTTTATTGAAAGTAAGTAGACAACAGCTCCATGCTTCATCTTTAAGTTATATATATATATATATATATATTGTTTTACTTTGGGCGAAATGATAGTCCAATTTTAGACCACGTATCATTCTCTTGAGAGTAAGATTCTTTGTTTGCGTTGTATCCATATTTCTCTGTTCTCTTATTTACAACCATTAAGCAAAGAAATGGCACTAGGGAGTGACAAGTGGTCAGAAATCCAAGGTAACTTAGAGGCCTGGGATTATTTGTATCAAATTATCTGCTAATTCTGGTTACATTGCTTTGCTTTTGCTTTTTAGATTGTCCATCCAGTTGTACCTGTTCGGCTGTACTAGGAAACCCTCCACCAGTTATGATAATCTGCAAGGGATTGACAGCGATCCCGAGGAAAACTCCAGTCAACACAATTGCAATGTAAGAACACTTTATTCCAGAGTTAACTCAGAATTTTTAACCATATAGGTGGGGCGCAGCCATTACTGCGAGCACAGGAAGCTCAAGCAATTTACTTCTATCGTATTAGAAAGGAATGTATATGGAAGTATAAAAATTTCCAGATTAATTTATCTAGTTAGCTTACCAATTTTCACGTGCGTGTTCTTGTTGCTGCTCTGAATTTGTGTCTGTATGCGATTTGGGACTAATCCTACGAGTTTTAGCCTTTTAACCGCACGACGAATATGAATAATAAGGACGGATAAACTGCTTTTGTGGGGAATAATTTTTGAACGGGTTTGGTATCTTTGCCTAGAATTTTTTTTTATAAACTTTGATCGTAATGTCTTGTAAGGCGTCCATGGGGAAAATCAGTATACAGCTAATATGACGGCTGCCTGTCAGCCAAAGATAAGACATCAATAGCAGATATCAGAGTTACACTCTACTGTCTTCAGACAATTGTTGCATTTGTGTCAGTTTCTATACATTTCATTGTATTGACCCAAATGCCTCGACTTGAAACAATTGTTTGCAGGCAACAAAATAGAGTGTAACTCCAATATCTGTTATTACCCTTACCATAATAGAAAAACAACCAATTGAAACTCTACGTATTATTCGCCATTTTCATTTTCTTCTGCCACCTGAACGAACCATAATGCATAGCGATTCCAGATGACTGTAATATTGTATTTTCTAAAAAAGTAGTCTATTACTTCTAACAAATCTCCTGTTTTATTGATTAATATATTTCTGATTTCTACAAAAAATAGGATGATCACTAAGAACCACCTGTCACGGATAGAATACAGTATTTATTCCGATCTTCAATATATGTAAGTAAAATTTGAAACGTAAGCATTTTAGTACAGTCTGTCGCATGTACAGCATCCTCTCAACAGGGGTCATAGTGGTGTGTATTAGTATGTGGGTGTTGTGGGGGGGATTTTGCCATTCTCCCGCACGC